AGTTGTGGATAGTCGGTGCAAGGGTCTTAGGCTCCCCCATCCCCCTCCCGGGGTGGGGGGAGCTGTGCAGATGTCGGTACGGTGACAGTTGTGACATCTTGCTCGTTATTAGTTTAGAAAGTTCTGTCCAACAGTTTGGCTTTCGGTAGCAAATTTTTATCTAGATAGGGTTTTGAGCCGTCTACCTTTCTGGGTGCATGACCTGGTCGAAGGTAGACATATAATGCTTCCAACCACATAGGTTTTTCTATAGGCCATTGCTCCTCGTGCCTCTCTTGAGGAGTCCAGTTTCTGGCTCGTGGTCCCAGGTAGGCCTATGAAACCCATTTGCCTTGACTGATGCCAGGGTCTAATATATTCATATCAGCCCAGATAGCTCCGCGGGAACCTCTGGGTCTCCCCCAGAAAATGGCGTTTGATTACATTCAACGCTGGTTTTTTGGAACAATTTATTTTTGGCTCACCACGTGAATGTCATTATAAAAGGTGCTCAATGCAGGGGTTAAATGTTGAAAAACAGACTGGAGCAGTGTAAGACATACAAATGAACAATTTATAGATACGAGTTTGTATGGAATATTATTGGAGCTCAGGTAATTACACTCAGAATGCGCTACAGTGCCTCGTTCATTCAGTCCTGGTAGGTGGTGGAGTCTAGTCATCATCATTGTGGTGCGCGGGTGATCTACAATAACCATAATTAGATTATTTGTAGAGATGCTCCTTTCTTCGTCAGTTTAGGGTTGGGCATTTTATTATATTAAGTATGCTGATAGAACCCTGTGTATAGATTGTCTTGTGCTACTTTGGTCCCTTCACCCACTTAGAATTATGGACACGTATAGTGAAGGACAAAATTTATAGTGACCCAAAAGGGCATGGTAAAATATAATGTATTTTATGCAAGTGAGGTGTACAGACAGCCACTTGGTTTGCGAACTTCAGTTATCCAAAACTTCCAGTTTCTCGCTACACGAACTAAGTTTGGGTGAGGAAGCGGTCTGCCAAGCCTTGCCCCGGATGGGGGTTGGGGTTTCACACTACACGAACTAAGTACGGGTGACGAAGAGGTTTGCCAAGATTTGTGCCGACCAGGGGTGGTGGGTGGGTGGGAGATGGCCTAGTTTGCCCACTGACCATGTTGGGTGCTTCAACTCTGTGCCACAACAGATATGACTTGTTAAACATATCTGCACAATCGAGGAACATCCATGCACCATGTTGGCTCCAAATGTATGTATTGTCAGTGAAAGCATAAACAAGTGGGATACATAAAAGAAAGAGGTCAGTGATGACATTTGAGAAGAAAGTTGAAATAATTAAGGAGGTTGAGAGCGGTGCCCTGAGAAGTGTCGTGTGCGCTGAATATGGCATTAGCGAAAGTACTGTTTTTTATTTTCTTAAGACTAAACCTATCATTTTTTACTATTTCTCTAGAAGTGAGAGTGATAAGGCAATAGAAAATAGAAAGATTGTAAGTAAAGGAAAAGTGGAGTGTTGATAATGCAGTGTGGAAGTGATACTAACAGAGGCGTGAGGTGACGAAGAAGCCAGTGGCAGGCTGGCTAGCTGCTCGTGGAAAAGGCGCATGAATTTCACCAAGCAATGAAAATTCCTCAGTGTGTATACATTGATGGATGGCTCAGAAGCTTTAAAACCTGCCATGGCATTAGGTTCATTAAAGTATATGGTGAAAGACAATCAGCTGACACTATTGATGCTGACGAGTATTCAATTAAATTTGCAGAGATGGTGCAGGAACAAAATTTATCTCCAGAGCAAATTTAAAATGCTGATGACACGTTTGTACTGGCGTATGTTACCCACTGTGACGGGTTGTGGTATCGCAGCTAAACTGGACCAAGATGGTATGGCGCTCTCTCACACAAATAAAAAAAAATGCTCCTCTTGGCCTTGCGGTGTGTAAGTTGCAGGTGGAAACAAATGAAAATCATCAAATAAATAATTAAGCAATTTACTGAAATATTCATGAACATAAATGCCCCTGAAAATACTTGGCTATCATGTAATGCAAAGGTGAACAAGTTAGTATGACCTTAAATGCAAAAATAAACTATAAGCAATAAATAAAAGCATAAAGATATAATGGTGTACTGAAGACAGCTACCATACCACCATGGCATCAGTCACACCACATTGGCTGGAGGCGGACGACGGGTGAGACACCAAGGTGTTCCAAAAGCACTAAGGGAGAGACTGGCTCTCCAGGGTTGTTGTTGGTAAAGATTCGCTACTTGGAACAAACAGTTCCAAGCAGCACGGGCCATGGTGAGCCCGTAGTGCCTTAACTCTCCAGGGAGGCGGCGCCCTTTATATAGTCCGGCGGTGATGACTCGTCCAGTGTCAACGCAAGGTGGACCTCTGGTCAGCTAGCAAACTGCTTGTTGTGGCTGGTGGTGCCTTTGTGTTGAGCTGCACCACTGCCAGTTGAAGGCGGCTAACTGCTTGTTTGTGGGGGCAAACTACCGGTTAGCAGAGGCGCCCGGCTTGCCTCTTGAGTCGTACCAGGCCGTGCCAGGCCCTGGGGGGTATGGAGAGGTGGCAGGAATGATGACTCATCTGGGCTGGTGTAGATGTATACTTCCAGTGTAGAGGAAATGAAGGTGAAGGGAAAAGGCAGTTCCATTGCTATGCAGGGGATTCACATGACACCCACCCACAGACACGATGGCTCATAGTGGTGAAGACAATCCTTCAGGTGGTTATAAGCAGAACAAAGAGTTTCTTTGTTGGGCTGTGCAAATGGAGCTGGCATGCACAAATTGAAATTACTTGTGATTGAAATTAGCAAAACCCTCAGGGCTTTAAAGTCAGCTAGGTGCCTCCCTTTGATTTATAAGAACCAGTGAAGTGCGTTGATGTCTCAAGTAATATTTGCCGAGTGGTTTAATAAGAACTTTGTACCCAAGGTGAAGGAGCACCTGAAAAGTGTTGGCCTTGCGCTATACAGAAAAGTTGTGTTGCTGCTAGATAACAGTGCAATTCATCCACGAGGTACAATGATGAGTTAGTAAATGGCAATATCATTGGAATGTTCTTACCACCCAATACAACTTCACTGATCCAACCCTTGGATCAAGGGTTAAAGAACCTTAAACACCACTACAAGAGGATGTTTGCCAGACGTCTTAATAATCAGCTAAGAATAATTAAGGACTTTTTATAAAGACTTCACAATAAAGTTAGCTAACTGGACTATTGCTAGTGCATGGAATCTGGTACAGCAAACAACACTAAGAAATGGTTGGAAAAAACTTTGGCCCATGTCAAGTCTATTTAATAAGGAAGATGACGAGGCAGATTTTGAGAGATTTGCAGCGAAACAATAGATGATGACATAGATAGGTGGATAAATTTTGATGATGAAGTCCCGAACAATCACAACATGACTGATGATGAAATTATAGAATTAGTATGTACAACAAAAAAGCCAGAAGAGTGCAATGAAGATGATGGTGAGGGAGGGGAAGATGAAGAGGATGAAGAATTGTTAAAGGAAAAATGTAATATGGAAAAAGTTCAGCAACATTTTGAAGGTATTCTGGCCTTTATGGAAATAAGTAACAGTGAGTTTGAAACTAAGGACATGATGAGCTAGTACAATTTGTATATGAAGTTTTTGAAAACAAGATCAAAGGGAATGAAACAAATGTCAGTTAGTCTTTTGCAAAGGCTTCCAAGAAAGCTCGCATTGCCTCACCTGCTTGTAGCCTCACTCATCACATGTAGACCCAAATGCGTAAACATCTAAGGCTACCTTATCACCATTATTCTCTACTTCAGTCAACCCAACACCATCAACATCTACCACCACTTCTCCCATGTAAATCACTATGCTTCATCAACATTCATGATCAAAATAACAAGTGGATCAGGACTTATCTTATTCGTGAGTACAAACAAAATATACCATTGATGCTGTATTTTGCAACATCAATGCTGATGTTCACAGCATTGATGCTGTGAACCTGTCACTTTTTTGTCCTGTATTTTTTCCCGACATTTCTTTTTTTTTTTCCCCCTACACTTCTAGTTTATTTTTGTTTCTTCATTTACGAACTTATATGATAACCGACGGGCCTCGTCCCCGAGGGGTTCACAAATCAAGTGGTCCTCTGTATAATCCATATATTTTCTAACAGGATGTGTTAGTAAGTGCAGTGTGTGATTTAGAGAGAGGATACTGTACAAAATTTTAATCTTTATGCTTTTTTAAATTACTGTAAATACAGTAGCTAAAATGTTGTAATTTATAGCAAGTTAACATTTCAGCAGTCTGATGGAGCACAGTGCATGAATATCTTATCAGGAGACCCTCCAGAAATCACATTGGCTGACTATCTTCCACTTAGAGTAATAGTTGCTCTTCTTGTGAATATTTTCAATATTCTTTGCAAATTATTTGCCAGAGAAGTACAAGTTATTTTTGCTTTCTTTTTACTGTGATATAGAATAAGCATGCGTGCACATTTCCATATTTTTAATTTGGTGAAAATAGGTAAGTAATGTTGAACGAGGAATGTTGAAATGACAATTAAAATTTGTATATTCAGCACAGTCACATATAATCTATTATTAAAACACATTTTAATACCAAATTTATAGTTGTAACTCAAAAACTAACTGGGAAAATGTAAGAAGAGTATAAACATTTTAGACATGCCTGAGTGGGACCCTGAGATGGCCAAAACATTCATGATCAGGAATGCACGAACAGGTCGGAACGGTAGTGTTAAAAGACGAGTTATTTTAGGGGAATTTGTTTTATTGAATAACTAGCATCTGGACAATTATTGAAAGTTTTCAGTCATTGCAAAGTACACTATTTGCTGTACTGTACAGATATACCTTTATCCTATCTACCTGTAATAGTATAATTGTTGTAGAAAGTCTAGTGAATTAAAATGAAGGCCTGTGTACATGGAATATCGTGTGTTGCTCCCTCAATATCGGAATTAATCCAAGTCTTGGACTTCCAGCTGACACCTCCGGCTACAAGCTTTGCCTTTCGAAATGGAAATGGCAAGGAGCAGTATTACAAATTTCAACATGTATTTAACTCTAAGGCATCACAGAAACAGCTCTTTGACCAAGTTGCCAAACCTCTGGTGGCTGACTTACTTCAAGGAAAGAATAGTCTTCTATTTGCCTATGGTGTTACAGGCTCTGGCAAGACACATACCATGCAGGTGAGGGAATCATCATGGTTCTGTGTCAGTCGTATAAGTTAAGGTTAATGCTGTTGTCTTTGTATTCTAATTTGAAATATTGGAAAGCTGGTAGGTTTTTGTAAATCTTAATTCTTGCAATATAAATTAATTTTGTAAATGGCTGATACTCTGTTGTCTTATTTAATGTCTGGTAGCTAATGTTGATGCTGAAAGAAAATATAACCACCCTATCTTTATCTATTTCCCCACATTAATTTAATAATTATAATTGATAATTATAATTCCACTTAGTTAGCTTATATCTTTCCTTTGAGTCACACAATTGGTGTTTCTCTAGGCAGTATACTTGGCCCTCTAATCTTTCTCATCTACATTAATGACCTTCCAAATGCCTCTTAACATCTCAAGCCAATTTTATTTGCTGATGACACACCCTTTATTTTCTCCAGTCCTAACTCTTATTCTGAATGACACACTGAATACTGAACTAAATAAAGCCCATCTGTGGCTAACTGCTAACAAACTCACCCTTAACATTGACAAAACTGTCTATATTTTGTTTGGTAATAAAACCTCAGATTAAATTAATCTAAGAATTAACAATATCCAAATTAGTAACAAACTACTGTAGATGGTAAATTCCTTGGTGTTCTCATTGATAACAAGTTGAATTTCCAGGGCCACTTTTAAAATATAGCAAAAAAAGTTTCTAAAACAGTTGACATTCTTTCTAAAGTCATAGTACAGTATATGTACTTCGCCCTACTCTGGTAATGCTCGATTACTCTCTCATCTAGCCTCATGTCAATTATGGTGTCTGTGCTCGGGGTTCTGAACTGTAATGCCAATCCTGACTTTATACGCTTCCTAGAAGGATGTAACAGAACTCATGGGCACCACACTAGAAAAATACCTATTTGATATTTCAAGAGTGCAACTTAATCAAACTAGAAATGCTCTGGAAATCAAGGGACCCAGAATGTGGAATGACCTTCCTAATCACGTCAAAGACTGTCCCTATCAACCAGTTAAAGAGAAAAACTAAGTACTGTACTGTACAGTGGAACCTCGTGTAGCAAACACGTCTCTTTACAAATTTTTCGGGTTGCGAACTCAATTTCTTCGGAAAATTTGAATCGGGTTAAGACCTTTGTATCGCCTTGTGACTTTATTGATTCACATATGGGTCAACCGAGCGCGTGATTCCTGGTGTCATGGGCGACCACACTTCAGTTTACCCGTGCCTCCTGCTTAGTGACGGATCACGCTTGAATTATTTGTAAATAATTTCATCGTGTTTCTACTTTTTTTGTTTTTTTGAACATAAAAGTAATTATTATATATCACATTATGGGTCCCAAGAAAGTCAGTGGTAAGGTTCAACCTAAGGAAACACACATGAGGATGACCATAGAGGAAAAACGAGTCTCTATGGAAAGGTTCTTAGTGAGACAAACAAGCAGCGAGACAACCAGGTCCTAGTGGTATGCAGGCAAAACATAGGAGAGAGGATACTCCAGCAAAGTCATCACTGCCCGATGTTATAATGGAAGGGGATTCCCCTTCCAAATGCTAACACCTCTCCTCCTTTTTTCCCTCCTCACAGTCTTCCATATGCCAACAAGAGTCATCAGTAAAGGTAAGCGATAAATTGTATATACTGTAGTACAAAATATTTGTGTGTAATATGTATGAAATGTACAGTATTTTGAAGTTAATATTTTTGAGTGTGTGGAATGGATTAATTCAATTTACATTATTTCTTATGGGAAAATTTGTTTCGGGTTGCAAATTTTCGGCTTATGACCCGTCTCTGGGAATGGATTAAATTCGAAAATGGAAGGTATCACTGTACTATCTAATAAATTCCCTGTAACCTACCTTACCCCCTAAATATCAGCCCATGTCTTGCTATTTTCAAACAATATTCATTATTGACCAACTTATATAACTGCTGATATCTACCATGTATAAACTTAAAAAAAATTGTATTCATCTGTTTATTTAGTTACAATTACTTCTGCTGTTCCATCCATCATGTAATTAATATTATTATTTTTCATTTTTACCCTTTTTCCCTTTTTCAATTCAATTTATGCTTTGATCTCAATTAGTTTCAAGTTTTAGCCTAAGTGTTTTTCCCACATCTTGCCCGAAACGCTGTGTGTATTAGTGGCTTCAGCCATAGTATGTACTAGCTCTGTCTAGAAATCCAACATTCTGTTTATAACTTATATTGAATGTGTGTAATTTTACTTGAATAAACTATATATATATATATATTTATTTATTTATTATTTTGCATCTCAAAGTGGTATAGTGAGCAACCTTACCTGACCTTACCTAGTCTCACACTTTTAAACGGGAAAATATCAAGCACAGGTCCCGAAGCACTCTACAGGGACTATTTAAGGTACTTGTAACTGTTATCCAACTATGGTAATATATATTTGGTAGGGATTATTCTCGAGGCCAAGCAAATAGAGCCCCAGTGATGTCATAAATGTGTTCATCAATAGGAATATCTGATTACAGTCAGTCAACTTCAATGTTGCATCACCTAGCCAGTATCAGGTGGCAAGAACACTAACAATGCTCACTTGCATCACAAACCTTCATACATCCTGACTACACTACCAGCACTTGAGGACATGAAACTTATCAAGTGCTGAACTGTTCCTGATTGAGAGGGAGCTGAAATATTTGGATATTTTTTCAGATTTGCTAAAATCTTTAGATATTTATCAGATTAGCCAGGTGTGTGATATTCTGCACTGCTACTGGAGATTTGGGCTTTTGAGTGTTGGTGGCTTTTTACTAAGTATTCACAACTTAGATGATTGTCATGCCCTTCAAGAAGACCTGGACAAAATAAGTATATGGAGCACCACTTGGCAAATAGAATTTAATGTCAACAAATGCCATGTTATGAAATGTGGAATAAGAGAACATAGGCCCCCGACAACCTATAAATTATGTGAGACATCTTTAACAAATTCTGATCAAGAAAGAGATGTAGGGGGTTATCTTGAGGTTAAAATGATTTCGGGCTTAGTGTCCCCGCGGCCTGGTCTTCGACCAGGCCTCTACCCCCGGGAAGCAGCCCGTAGCAGCTGTCTAACCCCCAGGTACCTATTTATTGCTAGGTGACAGGGGCATCGGGGTGAAAGAAATTTTGCCCATTTGTCTCCGCCTCCACCGTGGATCAAGCCCGGAACCTCAGGACTGCGAATCCGAATCGCTGTCCACCCAGCTGTTAGGTGCCCTATCAGGTTCTAGATAGAAAACTATCACCTGAGGATCACATAAAGAACGTTGTGCAAGGAGCCTATGCTACAGTTTCTAACTTTAGAATTGCTTTTAAATACATGAATGATGAAATACAGTACTAAAGAAATTGTTCACGGCTTTTGTTAGGCCAAGGCTGGAATATGCAGTTGTTGTGTGGTGCCCATATCTTAAGAAGCACATCAACAAACTGGAAAAGGTGTAAAGACATGCTACTAAGTGGCTTCCAGAACTAAAGGACAAGAGCTATGAGGATAGGTTAGAGGCATTAAATATGCCAATACTAGAAGATGGAAGAAAGAGGTGATATGATCACTACATACAAAAAAGTAACAGGAATTGATAAAATTGATAGGAAAGATTTCCTGGAACTTAAAGAACAATGTGTCATAGATTTAAACTAACTAAACAAAGATGCCGAAGAAATATAAGGAAATTCACTTTCGCAATCGGAGTGGTGGACGGTCGGAACAAGTTAGAAGGTGGTGGAGGCCAAAACCGTCAGTAGTTTCAAAGCTTTATACGACAAAGAGTACTGGGAAAACGAGACACCACGAGCGTAGCTCTCATCTTATAATTACTCTTGGGGTAATTACACACCACACAGACACAGATAGTGGAACCTCGACTTATGAATGCTTCGAGTTACGACCCCAATTTCGTTGGAAAATTCAACTCGACATTTGCCTTGACTTGCAACTGTTGATACACGTATGGGGTCGACGGAGTGCGTGGTTCCTGGTGGCACGGGCGACCCCTCGTCAGTTTACCAGACCGCCCGCTTAGTGACGATCTCGCTTGAATTTATTTATATATATATATATATATAAGCAGGCAAGCAAGCAATTTAGACATATGATTGATCAGTTACATTTGCAAAATTGAAGATAACAAATTGAGTGGGAAACGAATTCAAAGACTCAAAATTGCTAGAAGGTGATTTATCTTGACTTAAAATTTATGAAAGATTGGTAGATGCAGTTTAATTCTGATGGGTGAAGGATTCTGTGCCTAAGTAAGGATGATAAAGCAACCCATCCTCCTGTTTAAATAGTTCCTATTGTGACGATCGTTAATTGTTAAAAATTTGTAAGTACTGTACTTAGCTTTTAGATAGTATACTGACTAGTAAGGAATTCTTTTAAAATAAATGAAGCTAAAAAACAAACTTAAATATTCCTAGGCTTAGTATAGCAAACATATGTACTATATTAGGCCTCAGATATTGTGTATTAGGCCTAGGAAGGTTAGGTTTAGTTTGTTGAAGCAACAAAAGTAAAAAATAGTTTTTCGGTTTGTGCAACTCAATAGTTCAGATTCCTACTTAATAATTTTCGTTGTACGTCAGTATATATACTTTGGTCCTCATCATTACTACAGGTACTACCAAAACAGGAGGTTGAATAAAGTTATCAGTTGGGCACTGTTGAAATTGTTAAATTTAAATATGAAAAATGTATGGAAGTCATCACTGTATATAGACTAGAGCATCACCTTTATATCTGTGATATAATGTACATCGGTATGTAAGTCACTCCTGCACAGTACTTGGTCTTCATATTTATATCTTTTTCTTTTAAGACTATTAAATTATGCAGCTGCCGATAAACAAGTTTTTGTTTATTCAGAAAGTATTTGAAATTAGTAAATAATTCCTATTACTTCTACATGCCAGGAAGTTTTATTTTTCAGGGAACGCCTGCAGATGGTGGTATATTACGAAGGACCTTGGATGTGGTTTTTAACAGTATAGATAAGTATAAGGCGCACAAATGTGTTTTCCTACCTGATCATATGAATGGCTTTGATGTTCAAACAGAAGCAGATGCTACAAAAGTGCACAAGGCTCAGGTTACGGTCTGCAAAACACCTCGCACTCCAAAACTTAGGTACTGTACTCTCATCTATTATTTATGTTAATTATCAGGATTAGCATCTCATTAGCTCATGAGAATCTATGCACTTGTAATCCTCTGTGTTTTGTATCACAGTGTATAATGTATTTGTGGTTTGGTCATGTGCAATCCTGATCAAGGAAGTCATGGTTCTCTCTCGCATAGTACAGTACTCAACACTTAACATGCTCAGTAACTTTTCAATCCCTTTTCATATGCTTTTGGAAGCAGTTCCCACATTTCAGCTGGATAACCATAAGGATTTTGCAGTTCGATTGAAGATGCTTTCTTAGGGTTCTTAATTTATACACATTGAGAAAAATTAACTGTAGTACTATTGTACTTGGGTCCAGCTTGTTTGATAAGCTGTCTACTATTGTGACAACAGTAGCAATGAGAAGGTGTTCCCTTGGAACCCCATATGCTTTGCCCAACTTAACTTTCAATCAAATGGACTCGTTTATTATTCTAGTGGGAATATTATCTTCCACTCTTTATTTTCCTAACTTGGTGCCTTCTTTTGAATGTTCTGAAAGAGCATTCCTAGGGAATGAAACAATAACATAAGACTCGGTTAAAAAAAATTGACATACTAATGGAAATTAAATGCAATTGGAAGTTGTATCCAGGTTAAAAGCACGTATGACTGATGAAAGGTAGTGGTGTTATTTACGGTTGACTTCAAGTAACATCAGAGTAGTCAACTAGACAGTGAGAGAGCCAAATAGTAATACAGTCACAATTATCACTTCCCTCCATTTGTTTCTAGGTGTCATTGGCAATTATAGGAGGATAGCATTAAAGGTGTTGTAATACTTAGTTACATTATTATTGTCAGGCTCAGTCACGTATCAATAGAAAATGGCGCCTATAGCAAGCACTGAAATTGTGTCCGTGTCCTAACATCTGACACCATTTCTCAGATAACTATACCATAAAATCAGCTCAAAGATTCCTGTCAAATTCGTTCATCTTTTAACACTTTGGCGTACCCCGCGCGCCACCCCTCAACTGTGCGATATGGGTCCCAGGGTGTCACGGGAGCGCGCGTAAATTCTGAAAAGTGTATACTCTCCAACTTTGTCAACTTAATTCTCGTCCTACGAGATTAAATTTTGTATCATTGTGTTCGCAATAGAATTCTCTACAGTACTAAATGCATATAAACTCCAAAAGCCCGGCTAATTATCCGCAGCAAACAGATAAAGTACGAACGAGTTACCAGGAGCGCGCAAACGCAATAAAATGTTTTCACTATTTTCACTCTGGTCACCTCAATTTTCGTCCTAGGTCTTTCATTTTGGTCTCAATGGGTTCGCAATAGAATTCTCTAGAGGAATATTAGCATATAAAATAAAAAACCTGGTCACGCTCCAACCACCGACGAGTTGAAGACGGGCCACGCGTTAGCCGCAAGTAAGCGCTCAAACGCCTTCCAGCTACACTCCCAATTCCCGCCCTTTTCAAGCCTTTCTTTCGCAATTTTCTTCCTGGAAGGGCCTTGTTCATGATCACTATCCATCGTGGAGTAAGCGTAGATAGTTTCTAAAGCCGCAGTAAGAAATATAGCCACGGAAAATAGCCGAAATGTTCACACGTTTGAGATGCGAGGGGAGGCGACATTGGTCACAACAGTGGAGCGAAAACAATGGGCCCACGGCGTGTGCCAAGCTGCCTGAGGGCCACGAGGCTCAACAAAGAAAATGGGAAGACATCGGCGCGCATTTTAAAACCAGTCCCCCAAAAATCGGATAAAAACCTGATTTTTGGTGATTATTTAAAGTGGATGACGCAATGCTGTGTCATCCCCGGCATTACCGACAGTAAACGGATGACGCAATGCTGCGTCATGCCCGGACGAAAGTGTTAATCGATAAATTATGACGCTACACTACATGAAAATTATAACTGCACTTTCCTTGCTTTCACTTGTGCAAATTGGTCTATGATGTGGTCAGTCTTTTTTCTGTTTCTTCTTTTTCTACACTTAGCCGAGCAAGATCACAGAGTCTGCCTTGACCCATGGAGGCTTGTGGGGATTTACTTGTGAGAAAGATCTATTAATTTTATTTATTTATTTAAATTCAAAATTTTGGTTAAATATAAATGTTTATTATTTATTTAAAGCATAGTGGACTGTTGACCAAACCACACTAGAAAATGAAGAGACGGTGACGTTTCGGTCCATCCTGGACCATTCTCGAGTCGATTGTGAGGCTCAATCGACTTGAGAATGGTCCAGGACAGACCGAAACGTCGTTGTTTCTTCACTTTCTAGTGTGTGGTTTGGTCAATATATTTCAGCCACATTATTGTGACTCCTCGTCTGCATAGTGGATTGTATTTTTACAATTCTACACAAATAAACTCCTCACATACTTTGGTGGTTTCATGTAAATAAATCAGTTAGTGTTACTTTATTATTTTAGGTTATTTATTTCAGTTAAATTCAAGTATTTCTACTAAGAAAAATATGTCAGCTTAGCTGAACAAGAAGCGTAGTTTAGCCGGGATGCGTATCGTTCACGTGAGCCAGACATCTCGTGTTGACCTGTGGTTATGGTGTCTCACAGGTTGCAAACCGCGTGCTGTTTACTGCTACGCCACAACTCGGTTACCTGTCAACATACCACATTGTGTATGGGGCTAAAACACTAATTTGAATTAAGTAATTATTGTACAGTATTATGATTTAATTATTTAAATTTAATTATCTAAGATTCAGGTTATGAGACGCTCACCATTTGTTTGATGCTTTCCTGCATCATAACCAATGATGATTTATGTATATACTATGAGCTCATTTTTAATGAAATTCACATCACCAGGTGACACTTATCCTTGGAGTAATGTGGCTGGATAACACTCGTAATACAACGTAAAATTTTATTGCTTGCAAGCTAACTGCCAACACGTCTGTTCTTTCTACCGAGTCAAGATGGCTCCTTGCCTCTCCCGATCTCACTTTCTTTTCACGAGAAATGGGATATAATTTATTTTTTTTAGAAAGTAGTGGATATGGATGAATATTCTTTGTAATTATAATTAATTTTAAGAAAAGCGTAATTCAGTCCTTGGATTGTACACTTAAGAAATTAAGTAGAGACGTAAGTTGCTTGACATTCTATATTTATAGACACACAGACGTTCCATTTCTCCACAGAAAATGGAAATTAATTACAGTATAATGGTTCTTATTTGGATAAATTTCGTTTTGATAAAGTTTCCACAACAACAAAAATAAGTTTTTAGTGTAGAGTTAATTGAATAAAATTTAAGCAAACTAGATTGGAAATTCTCTCACAAGGCTCTAAAGTACAAACGTAATAGTTTTAACTTGCTGAATGATCTCTCACAGCTGGCGATGGAAACTGATGACTAGCATTATTTGAATAGCAATATGAAGATTGCTAAAGACGACGCTCTCGTTTCCAAACCGAACAATAAATTCGAGATACTCTTCGGGTCTTAATATTTTCACGTTGGCCCAACTTCATATGTAGTAATGTTCTACAATCCAAAATTTCTTCATATAGTTACTATCCATCAACATCAGAACTGTTCACCAAATGTTCTGCACTTCTTCTTTAGATCGTTATTGTCAGCGACGGCACTGTATCACAATAATAATATATGTTGTTAAAAGATTTATATCTTTTAAATACTGTACATATAATCAAAGACAGATTAGATCATACATTTGAAGAAAAATGTTCTTTACAACCCGAGGATAGCTTATCTGATATTAATTAATAGAAAGTGCCCAGTAGTGCACCTTAAGTGGTGCCCAAGGCATGTGCCATACTTGCCATACCCTACATATGCCACTGGTCAGGTTACATGTAGTTTGAAGCCCGTCATCTTCCTTGGTCAAGCATAGGTTGCTGGTGCTTGATTATGCTCAAATTGATTACTACAAAACATGGGACATCCACAGTAATATACAGTAATGACAAACAAGATCTACACATTTAAATTCATATTCAAATGTTTATTCAGGTAAAGTACATACATACAAGGGGAGATACAAATATTGTTGAATTTATAGATAGAGCTAGTACATATAATGCCTAAAGCCACTATTACGCAAAGCGTTTCGGGCAGGAAAAACACTAAAGACTAAAACTTAATACTAATTGAGGTTAAAGTATAAAATGTGTTGAGAAAATATAAAAATATAAAAGGGGGAACATGGCAGAAAAACAGCAAAAATACAATTTGATCGACAGACAGCATTGTTTAAAAATGTAACTATTAAAAATTTAGTAGTTGATTGAAAATGTGGATGAGTGAGTGAGCATGGGGATTGTGGCTGGACAGGCTGTAATAGTGCAGAATTATATGAGGTAAGTGAGGTTGATGTGGCTGGTCTGGCTGACAACAAAATGACATACGAAAATGCCACTTTGACTGAAAGTGACATTTTCTGTTACTTTCACCTCCACCCTTTCCTTTGCCCCCATCCACTGAAATATTCCCTCAGTTATTTAACGTGTGTTTAACATCCTTATTAATTAATATGAATGCTTTTATAAATTATTGCACTCACTGAATCCTCTAATACAAGAGCATTACCCAAGTACATAAAATAAGTCCCAGATGATATTCTCTGCTGGCCTTATTGAATGTTACCTCCCATTCATCCATTGTCTTCATTTCATATGATGTCCAGTACTTCAGTGTAATGTAATATTAAGCTTTGGTGAAATTAAATCTAATTTGTATCTGAAAATTTACATTTTTAAACCTTTACTAGCAGTTATCATCATTCGCTGATTCTTGGGGTAATGCTGTTGTCGTCATACGACAATTTAAACAATTATTGTCTGGGTTTTACATGTATGATCCAAATATGGATATCATAGCTCTGTGAATGTATTGGAGTTTACCTTCACCAATGAAAAAATCTTAACATTTCATGGTTACGTGTACAAGGAGGAGCCTACCATTGTGTGTGCTACATTGGTGGCCTACGCCTTTCTTTCATTCTTTAC